AAGGCTGTGGCGGGGGGGGTTGTCACCTGCAATAGCCTCTGTATAAGTGTAGGATCAGAGGGGACTCCTGGACCCTCAGAGGACTGGGAGAATTCCTCATTCCTTCTCTTGGGGGTTTGGCCAAACTGAGCAAGCTTGTGCCCCAAGCAGTACTATGGGTATGGACACGCCTGGGTGCTTGCCCCAGATCAAGCTGAGAGTTGACGGTGGGGACTACATAAATCTGTAGTATATGATAAAAGTGGTATTTCAAAGCAATAGGGAAAGGACATTTCATTCAGTATTTTGGTGTTCGAATCACTGGCTAACTTTTCAGAAAAAAATAATTTGAATCTCATATCACAGCAAAAATAAATTCTAGGAGGATATTTTCATTCATCCCATAAATATATATTTAGAGCTACTCCACTGCAGGCACAGAGCTGGGTTTTGGGGATTCTGAGTCTTCTGCCTTCCTGAGAGCCACGGTCTAGGAGACAGGCAGAAGGGGTGATGGGGCGAGGACTGTACCCCCATCCAGGCCTGGGTCTGGGTCTGTGAGTTTGCCTTACTTGTTCACTTCCTCTTGGTCATTCAGGTTCTTGGAGAGGGGAAAGGCCAGTCTTGGGGCTAGGGCTCATGAGGCAGCCGGGGACCCAGAAAGAGGAGGGAAGACACCCACTATGCTGGTAAATTAGGTCCCTGGAAAAAAGATCTACTTTGTAGAGCTTGCTCATTTCCGTTGTGAAATACTCCTACTGTGGCGAAGTTCCAGCTTGATGTCACAGAGTGAGTTGGGAAGAGTTGGCACAATCAGCTCTTGGGAGGAGTCCTAGAGGGCCCAGTTATACCTCTGCTTTTGAACCCCACCTGCACCCCAACCCCACCCCAGGTGTTCTTAAAGGGGCAGATCTCTGTTTAGCCTTAGGAATTTTGTCTTTAATTGTATCAAGAAGCTATTGTCTTACAAATTTGAGGATTGGGAAGTGGGTAGGGGGGAAGAGACTGTCTCCTCAGTTGACTCCTTCCCAGGCCTTGGGTCTGCCAGAAGTACCCACTCATTCTAGGGGTGGGCACAGTGACCCCCACTTCCACGGCCTAGGGCTTAGCCTGCTGAGCGGCTGTGGGGTGAGGGGAAAGTGTCTAGCAAATTTCCCCACCAGCAATGCCGATTAGCAAATTCAACAACAACAAGAGAGATTTACTCTAGTAACAAAAAGTACGTAGTGTTATGGATTGAATTACGTCCCCCCAAAAATGTCTGTCAACTTGGCTAGGCCATGATTCTCAGTATTGTGTGGTTGTCCACAATTTTGTGATCTGATGCGATTATCCTCCGCGTTATAAATCCTAACCTTTATGATGTTAATGAGGCAGGTTTAGAGGCAGTTATATTAATGAGGCAGGACTCAATCTACAGGATTAGGTTGTATCTTCAATCTCTTTCGAGATATAAAAGAGAGAAGTGAGACGAGAGAGGGGGGACCTCATACCACCAAGAAAGAAGAGCTGGGAGCAGAGCACATTCTTTGGACCTGGAGTCCCTGCACTGAGAAGCTCCTAGACCAGGGGAAGATTAATGCCAAGGACCTTCTCCCAGAACAGGCAGAGAGAGAAAGACTTTACAGGAGCTGGTGCCCTGAATTCTGACTTCTAGCCTCCTAGACTGTGAGAGAATAAATTTCTCTTTGTTAAAACTATCCACTTGTGGTATTTCTGTTATAGCAGCACTAGCTAACTAAGACACATAGTATCTAGAATTAATCTAACAAAGAATGCATTTATACTACATACAAAGGAGGACTCCAGGTGGATTAAAGACCTAAGTGTGAAAAGTAAATGCAGGAGTACATATTTGTGATTTAAAAGCAGGACTAGAACACTTAAATGAAAACCCCAAAGCACAAACTATTAAGGTGAAAAACTGATGGATTGGACAACCTTAAAATTAAGGCTTTCTGTCCAACAAAGAATGCCACGGATAACATTAACAGACAGAATAAGGGAAAACATTATATTGCTAAGGCTGACAAAGGAGAAATATATATATATTATATATTAATAAGTGAGGCATTGGTGGTTCAGTGGTAGAAGTCTCCCCTTCCAGCAGGAGACCTGGGTTCGATTCCCAGCCAATGCATCTCACGCACAGCCACCACTCTTTGTCAGTGACGGCTTGTGTGTTGCTATGATGCTGTTATGGATTGAATTGTGTCACCCAAAAATATGTGTTGTAAATCCTAACCCCTATAATGGTTATGGAGCCCTGGTGGCGCAGTGGTTAAGAGCTCAGCTGTTAACCAAAAGGTCGGCAGTTTGAATCTACCAGCCACCCCTTGTAAACCATATGAAGCAGTTCTACTCTGCTGGAAT